TGTGTAATTGTAATGTATGGAAGTGTTTGTAAATATGAACAGTTGAGTTGTTTCATTTAAAATTATTAGAACAAAATACTGTATGGCCTATTAATCAAATAAATAAATTATCAAGATGTTGTAATTAAAAGAAATAGCATTGGGCTGGCCGAGTGGTTCAGTTGGTTAGGAGCGCGAGCTCTGAGCAACAGGGTTGCAGGTTTGATTTCCACATGGGACAGTGAGCTGCACCAGAGTGGAGCTGCCTCTGAGCTGGCAGGATGGCGCAGCTGGTGAGAGCATGTGCTCCTAACAACAAGGTTGCCGGTTGGACTCACACATGGGATGGTGGGCTATGCCCATCTGCAACTATGATTGAACATGGCACCTTGAGCTGAGCGGCCGCATGGCTACTGAACTTGGAGCTGAGCTAACTGTGCCCTCCACAACTAAGACTGAAGGACAACAACTTGGCTATTCCCCTTCCCCAATTCTCCAATAAAAATCTTAAAAAAAAAAAATAGAAATAGCAACAACTTACCATTATTATGCCAGAAGCATGATTATCAGTGTTCTCTGTGGATTTTGTGGCATTAAATATGCATTTAGGAATGACTTTTTTTATTTAAGTGATTCCCATTGTTTCTGAAAAAATACAGTATTTACTCCAGTGCATTTTTAAATGAATAATCACCAATATATATTATTTCTTATCTTCCAGGTAATAGAGCAAAAGTATACATTGAGATTCAGGATGAAAATGATCATCCCCCAGTGTTTCAGAAAAAACTTTACATCGGAGGTGTATCTGAAGATGCAAGAATGTTTTCGTCTGTGCTAAAAGTTAAGGTATGAGCAAATTTATTAAGATACAGAACTGAAGTAAAAGCAAAGTGCTTAAATTCTGCAGATTACTAATAACCATTTGGTTTGTATTAGCTGAGTACTTATTCCTGTTTAAACAAAACCTGAAACTTGGAGAAGTATGAGTTTAGCCAAACTAAATGCAGATTAATTATGAGGTGAATACTGAAGAAATTTTTGTATTTTGTCTTTAAGACAAAGATAGGAACAAATGATTTATGATGTTTTACACNGCTATCAAGTATGTCATATTCTAATTGAGGAGTCAGATAAACATTCAACTAAAGTAATTTCAGGCAGTGGTGAGGACTGTGTAAAAACTAGAAACACTAGTGGAATTAAGTTGATTAGTATTGGGTAGGTGTCAGTGAAGACATCCTTGAGATGATGATAACGACAAAGTAAACAGACTCTTTATGAGCAATGAAAGAAAATCAAGGTATTTATGATTGTAATCTTTAAAGCATTGCTAGCAAATGAATCTAAAACTTCTTTTTACCCCTGTTATGGTATACAAATTTGCCATTGTCCTAAATAGGTAGGAGCAACACTAAGCACACGTAAGTGCTTGGGCTGTGTCATCAAGGAATGGGTTCACATCTCAGCCACTACCATACACTAGAGGAAACATGGGCAAGTTACTTAATCTCGCTGTATCTTATTTTACTCTACTGCAAAAATATGAATGATAATAGTTATAGTAGTTTCACCTCATGGGATTGGAATATTCTGTACAACTTGGAAAAATATCTGCCACATACCATTCAATAATTGTTAGTTACCACTATTGAATGTTAGCTAGACATAGAAAGAACATATGCAGAAGTTGGTTGTTTTTAAATTCTTTAACTTTTAAAGAGAAATAAGGAACTATTAAAATAAGAAAACATATATAGATGATCTTGAATTCGGACAAAGTCGAAATTAAAATGAAAACAATTTTAACATTTTTAAATAGTTCATATAGATGTTAAAAAAAACATTATCGATACTATTAACCAGATTTTTGGTGCATCTTTTGTTTCCTATTTTCCATAAAATTGTGATTGCACAAAACTCAAATTTATAAAATGCAACAAGGCAATATCGGCTATTATAAAGTTATTTGGTATTAAAATAGACCAGGATGAGGCTTACGTGAAACCCAATAGCATTATGTACTGAGTATTTGTAAAATATTTATAGTATT